ATTCTGGCACCACCAGTTGAATAAAAGGAGAATGAGCAGGTGATCTTTGAATGAAAGAGGAATGTTTCACTACAAAACATAAATCCTAACCATTGATGGAAAGGGGGAAAACAAGTTTTATTGTTATTGTATGAGGTTTTTAAGTTAGTGCTTTGGCAAAGGAAATCTCTTCTTCAAACAATACAGGATGCAGAAGATAACACTTGCTGTTTTGAGAGGCCTAATTTTGACCTCACCACCCAAGGTAAAAACCAAGGCTTCCTTCTCTTTTTTTTTTTTGGTCAGTCATGGGGCTTGAACTCTGGGCCTGAGTGCTGTCCCAGAGCTCTTCAGCTCAAGGCTAGTGCTCTACTATTGAGCCATAGAAGCACTTCCGGCTTTTTCTGCTTATGTGGTAATAAGGAATCGAACCCAGAGCCTCATGCAGGCAAGGCAAGTACTCTACTGTTAAGCCACCTTCCCAGCCCCCAAGGCTTCCTCTAGCACTGTTTCATTCCTTCCTCATTTCAAATCACACCATCCCACAGAAGGACTGCTATTGATCCCTTCTAGCTACTTTCCCTAGCTAAATAATAATGCATTCTTCATCCTGTAACCAAAGTTATATTTTATTTACTGGCACTAGAACTCAGGGCCTGGACACTCCCTGTCCCAGAGCTTTTGTGCTCCAGGCTAGTGTTCTAGCCTTAGAGCCACAGCTTCACTTAGGACTTTTGGGTGGGTCAGTGGAGATAAGAGTCTCAAAGACCTTCCTGCCCAAACTGGCTTCCAACTGTGATCCTCAGATCTGAGCATCCTGAGTAACTAGAAGTACAGGCTTGAGCCATTGGTGCCCGGCTTTGATCATTCTTTAAACAAAGAAGACAGGGCTGGGGCAGCTTAGGGACAGTGCCCAGGCCCTGAGTTCAAGCCCCAGGACTGGCACGAAAAAAAGGAAAGAAAGAAAAAGACAACGAAATAGGCCAGATGGGGCTGGGAAGGTGGCTCAGTGGTAGAGCGCTAGCCTTGCGCTGAAGAGCTGAGGGACAGCGCCCAGGCCCAGAGTTCAGGTCCCAGGACCAATAACAACAACAAAAAAAGAAAAGAAGAAGGAAAAGAAGGAGAAAAGGAAGAGGTGGAGGAGGAGGAGGAAGAAGAAGAGGAAGAAGTGAAAGAGGAGGAGGAGGAAAAAGGAGAAGAAAAAAAAACAATAAGAAAACAATGATTTACTGACACTAAATCAGTTCATTCCAGTACTTGGACTTTCTGATAAAAATGCTCAGATATATCAATTCACTTGAGTGGCTCTCAATCGGAGAATGTCTCTCCCAATCCCAGAATGTCTATTTAGATAGGAGGGCCTCTCATTGTTTAACCGCATCAAGAAACAAATAATAAATAGATATGCATGATGCCTACATAGATGTACACACAGAGAAATGGATACATGCACACACGAGTTTAAAATGTTGACAGTTTCTCTGAAGACAGTAAGGTTACAGATTATTTTCCATTATGCTCACTTGTATATTCTAAGGCTATATTATTGTATAATACTAACCTCTGAAAACAAATTTTTCCTTGTTTTGGCACAGAGTGCTGTTAAGTAGGCTGCATTGGCCTTGAACTCCCCCTGACTCAACCTCTTAAAATATATTAGGATGGGGCTGGGAAGGTGGCTTAGTGGTAGAGTGTTTGCCTAGCATGCGTGAAGCCTGGGTTCGATTCCTCAGTACCACATACACAGAAAAAGCCGGAAATGGTTCTGTGGCTCAAGTGGTAGAGTCCTAGCCTTGAACACAGAGAGGTTCGGGGACAGAGCCCAGGCCCTGAGTTCAAGCCCCCAGGAGTGGCAAAAAAAAAAAAAGAAAGAAAGAAAGAAAGAAAGGAGAGAGGGAAGATAATCCCTCTGTAAAACACCTTAATAATAACAAAATTATATTTAAAAATAACATAAGCATGGTGCTGGTGGCTCACACTTGTAATCCTAGCTACTCAGGAGCCTGAGATCTGAGAATCAGGGTTCAAAGCCAGCCTGGGCAGGAAAGTCTGTGAGACTCTAATCTCCAATTAAACCACCAGGAAACCGGAAGTGGCGACTGTGGCTCAAGTCCTCGAGCTCTATAGCCTTGAGCTGTAGAGCTCAGGGACAAGGCCTAAGCCCAGACTTCAAGCCCCACAACCAACAATAAATAAATAAATATTTAAAAACAAAAACAGAAATGGGGCTGTGTTTCACAGGGTTGAGCAATAGCCTTGAGGGAAAAAGCTAAGGGACATTACCCAGGCCCTGAGTTCAAGCCTCATAATAGCACAAAAAAAAAAGGGAGCGGGGCTGGGAAGGTGGCTCAGTGGTAGAGTGCTTGCCTTGCATGCCTGAGGCCCTGGGTTCGATTCCTCAGCACCACATAAGCAAAAAAGAAAAAAAAAGCCGGAAGTGGTGCTGTGGCTCAAGTGGTAGAGCGCTAGCCTTGAGCTGAAGAGCTGAGGGACAGCGCCCAGGCCCAGAGTTCAGACCCACGACTGAACCCAAAAAAAAAAAAAAAGGAGCAAGACTGAAAGAGACTGATGGGAGGGTGAGCCTAAATGCATAAATGGACATAATAAATGTGAGAAGAGCCGGTGCCAATGGCTCACACCTGTAAGCTTAGCTACTCAGGAGGCTGAGATCTGAAGATCATGGTTCAAAGCTAGCCTGGGCAGGAAAGTCCTTGCGACTCTTATCTCCAAACACCTCTAAAATACAGGAAATGGTTCTGTGGCTTAAGTGGTAGAGTGCTGGCCTTAAGCTGAAGAGCTCAGGGACAGCACCCAGGTCTAGAGTTCAAGTCCCACCACCAAAAAAAACCCAAAAACCTGAAAAGCCACCTAAAGCACAATCTTAACAAGCATAGTATATTTTCCCTAAAAACAATGTCAAAAAGACAATTCCTTTTACAGCTAAATTGCTGCACCTTTCCCCATTTTATAATTTTAAAAGCCACTATTTTTTATAGCCCTCTATAGCCAGGGCTCTAAAAATAAATAGTCACCTATAAAACAGGAACCGTTTCTCTCCCAGAGAACTGTTAAAGATCAGATGACGTCAATCAGGGAAGGCAGCAGCTGGGTGCCAGTAATTCTAGCTACTCAGAAGGCTGAGATCTGAGGATTGAGGTTGGAAGCCAGCCTGGGCAGGAAAGCCCATGAAAACTCTATCTCTAGGTAACTACCAAAAAGCTAGAAATGGAGCTGAGGCTCACATGGTTGAGCACTAGCCTTGAGGAAAAAAAGCTAAGGGACAACACCCAGGCCCTGAGTTCAAAGTCCAGAACATACACAAAACACACACATACACACACAACACATAAGCCATTTGTAATAGTGTCGGGCATAAACCCTACTTAAGTGTTAGCTATTATTTTATTTCTTTACTAGTTTCTCCCAGTAGGGTGAAACAGGGCGGAAAAGAAGGAATAATTCTGAGAACATATATAGTAAGAGCAAAAATTACTGAAGGATGTAGGACAGGCTGTATTGGTAGGGCTCATGTCCTATGTCCAAAAGGTCTGTTAATTCTGGTGGTCAGGAATCTAATCCTCCTCTTCCTCCTTATAAAGTCACAGCCCAGGGGCTGGGAAGGTGGCTCAGGGGGTAGAGTGCTTGCCTGGCATGCATAAGGCCCTGGGTTTGATTCCTCAGCAGCACATAAGTAGAAAAAGCTGGAAGTGGGTGCTGTGGCTCAAGTGGTAGGGCGCTCGCCTTGAGCTGAAGAGCTGAGGGACAGCGTCCAGGTCCAGAGTTCAAGCCCCACGACCGACCAAGAGAGTAAATAAAAGTCAGATCCCAGTCAGCCATCTCGGATGGACCTGTGGGTTTCATGCTTGTAATGCAGCACTCAGGAGGTTGAGGTCTGAGGAATCTGATCCTAGGCAAGCTGGGGGGCTAGATGACAAAACCCAACCTCAAAAACAAAGCAATCAAAACCCAGCAGGTCTATTTCCAGCTCCCATATTCTGGGGTCTGGTTACCAGTGTGCATTAGTGGGGGCGGTGGGCCTAAATCAGGACAGGAAAACCCGACCTGTGAGTGTGGCGAGAACTACAATACCCAGCATGCAGCGGGGTGAAAAAAGGAAGGTGTGGGCGGGGGGGGGGAGGAGAAGCCTTCTTCCGCCGCGACTAGCAGGTGCTGCTGGGAGTTTCATTGACACCCCCCCCCCCCATCTTTCCAGCTCCCACCCACCTCCTCTCAGCCCCGTTCACTCCCTCGGACCTCCCCTCCCCACACACTCCACCCCTTCCCTTTTTTTGTGTGTTGAGAGCGGGTGAGAGAGAGAGAGAGACACCCCCCCCCCCCCCCCCCGGCAAAGCCCGCGAGCTGCTTCCTCTTCCCGTCTCATTGGTCCAGCCTACCTGTCACTCCGGGAGCTGAGGAGCGAGATGCTGTCTCCTGATTGGTGGGTTCTGTTTGGCGCCAACTAGGCCGGGGCGGAGTGGGCGGGGCGACGAGGGTCTCTCCTCGGCGGGTCTGTCGCTCTCTCCCCCGGTCCCCCCCCCACCCCGCCGCCACTCCCCGCCCCCTCCTCCGGGGGGAGCCGAGCTGTTTTACCGCGAACTGAGCCGCTCGGGGCTGGGACCTCGGTGAGGGGCGGGGGTGGGGGGGGACCGGAGGGGAGGGTCGAGCCGGGTCCAGCGGGGCGGGCCCGGGAAGGACAGGGGGAGGCGCGGCCGGCGGGAGAGCACGGCGGCCCTTCCTCACCGCCGCGGCGGATTTGATCTTCAGATTGCTCCCCCCCCCCCCCACACTTCACCCCCCTCCTCCTCCGCCGGACACCCCCCCCCATACACACAGGTGGAGGTGGTGCTGGCGGGGCCGGTGCTCGGTGGGTGCGGAAGCTTCTGCTTGAGGAAAGCCGGGCATCGCGCTTGGGATCCCCGCGGCTTCCCCCCCATCCCCTCACTCCATCCTCCCCCCCCCCATCATCATCATCATCATCATCATCATCCGCCCGTCCGCGCCGCTTTGCCCGCGGCCGCCGCGTCCCAGAACCGCGGGGTCGTCGCGTGTTTGTGTTTGATCCCGCGGGCGGCGCGGGCGGCCGGGGGGGGGGCGCGCGTGTGCTGAAGCCGGTGCCTGCGGGGCGGCCGAGGTAGATCACGGAGCGGGACTCCTCTGGGGCAGAGCCCGGTGCCCCCCCCCCCCTCACCCCTCACCTACCCACACACCTTGATCCGCCTTCACTGCCGCCGCCATGGAACTGGGCCCGGAGGCCCCCCACCGCCGTCGTCTGCTCTTCGCCTGCAGCCCTCCTCCTCCTCCCCACCCCGCGCCGCAGGCCACGGCCCAGGCCTTGTTGGGCGCGTCTGCTGCTGGGGGGATGTCCCCTGTCACCAACCTGACCGTCACGATGGACCAGTTGCAGGGACTGAGCAGGTAAGATTTGGGAATGGGGGGTAGGGGGAGAAACAGGCGAGCGATCCTTTCCCCCCTTGGCCCCCCCGACATTTCCCTCACTGGGCTTTTTACCTGTGGGTCCTCGGGAAGAAATCAGATCGTGGGGAGCCCACCTCCGTCCTGCTGGAGAGATCCGGATGCTCCCCTCGAGAAGGAGTAAACTGGATCTAGTCAGGCCTTGCCATGTGCACCTTCTTCTTCTCCCTGGGAGGTCCGGAAGGTTCAGGTGGGAGAAAATGGTTCAGATCCTCTCCATGGGTTTATCCCTCAGCCCGAGTAAGACTTAAGTAGGGTCCCCTACTTGTGGACACCCACCCCCTTTTCAGACTGCTTTGTATGACTCCCAGTTCCTTAGACCAGGAAGCTGGTTTGGAAATGAATCCCTACATCTTCCCCCCACCCCTACCTCCCCCCCATACCCTACCTCCCCCCCATACCCAAACTGCGAGGCCTTCATTCCCCCCCCTCCCCCTTGGCTGAACCAACGCCTGAAAAATCTTAGTTTCCTGTGAGCTTTGTTCCTTCTCAACAAAGGGACCGGCGGCATTTTCCTGCCCCGCATTTGTGCAAAATCTACAAACCCCAGTCCTTGATGTCTACCCGTCTCTGCTTTCCTAAGGCCAAGTCCTTTTTACTTTTCCCTAGACTTTTTCTTCTTTTTTCCTATAGCAAAATACATCCCACCATATCCCAGCAAAAGCTACTTTTATGTTCTCAAACTTTGGGTATTTCACTCGCTGATCGCTGCCTTTGGAAAGCTAGAATTTCTAGTTCCATTTCCCCTCCACCTCTCTGTCAAGCACATTAATCTAGTGCTTTTGGGAAACCATACCGTAGCCTTTCAGTCTTACAATATGGCTAGGGCCAAGTCTATCCACTCCTTTCCTTTGCTCTCAGACATTACTCTGGGTAATGTGGGTGGCAAAGAGGGGTGGTGTGGTGAGGCCTCATAATGATCAAGGTAGGTGACAATGTGGTGTGTGTGACTTTCAACTGTCCTAAAAATTGCTCACGTGCAACTCTTTTTCTTGGTTTCAGTGAGTGTGAACAGTCACTGGAGGCAAAAAATAACAGCAGTCTTCAGAGAATGGGCTCTTCCGAATCCACTGATTCAGGTATTTTCTTTTCTTTTCATCTTGATCCTGTATTTTCCAGTGTGCTGTGTGGAGAATGATACTGGAGATTTTCTGAAAGAGATTTCTTCCAGGGCTGGGAAGGTGGCTCAGTGGTAGAGTGCTTGCCTTCCATGCGTGAAACCCTGGGTTCGATTCCTCAGCACCACATAAGCAGAAAAAGCCAGAAGTGGTGCTGTGGCTCAAGTGGTAGAGCGCTCGCTTTGAGCTGAAGAGCTGAGGGCCAGCGCCCAGGCCCAGAGTTCAAGCCCCATGACTGACCCCCCCCCCCCCAAAAAAAAAAAAAAAAAGATTTCTTCCACCTGGGCACTTATTTTTGGTGAATTGAAACACAGACAAGTCTTTGGAAGGTGTTGGGTGTTTGCTTGCTCATGAAGGATGAGTAAAATTCATTACATAATTGGCATTAAGGGCTAGGAATGTGGCTTAATGCTAGCATGCTTGACTAGCATATGTGAAGCCCTGGGTTCGATTCTTCAGTACCAGTGGCACTGTGGCTCAAGTTGTAGAGCACTAGCCTTGAGCAAAAGCAGCTCAGGGACTGTGCCCAGGCCATGAGTCTAAGCCCCACAATTGGCAAAAACAAAACCAAAAACACCCAAAACTGTCATTCAGAAAAGTATATGGGGTCGGGTAATTGGAAGTATAGTGAAATCTCAGTGTAGGAAATAATAGGCCATTGTCTTTCATTTTGTGCCATAAGTTCAAGTTATGGTGGGGTTGTACAGATAGAAATATGCCACAAAACCTTTTAGGTTTGAGGGCTGGGAAGGTAGCTCAGTGGTAGAGCGCTTGCCTTGCATGCCTGAGGCCCTGGGTTCGATTCCTCAGCACCACATAAGCAAAAAGAAAAAAGCCAGAAGTGGCGCTGTGGCTCAAGTGGTAGAGCGCTAGCCTTGAGCTGAAGAGCTGAGGGACAGCGCCCAGGCCCAGAGTTCAGGCCCCACGACCGGACCCAAAAAAAAAACCCAAAAAACAAAACCTTTTAGGTTTGAGAAGTATAAGAGCAAAAGCAAAAGTCGTAAACTGTAGTGTATAGGCTTGCCACCTCCCCCACTCCCATCCCCCCCAATCATGGGGCTTGAACTCAGGGCCTGTGAGCTATCCCTGAGCTCTTTTGCTCAAGCTAGTACTCTACCACTTTGCGCTAGAGGTCCACTTGTTTTCTGGTGGTTCATTGGAGATAAGTCTCAGAGAACTTCCTGCCTGGACTAGCTTCAAACCATGATCCTTCGATTTTAGTCTCCTTAGTAGCTAGGATTACAGGCTTGAGCCACCAGTGCCCTGCTCTACTTAGGCTTTCTTTCTCCTCTCTTCTGCTCCCCCCTCTCAAACACACATTCTCAGAAAGATCTTCCTTTCTGGCTCGTATGGTCATCCTCCTTCCTCATTAGTCAGGAGCTCTTTTTGCCAGTCCTGGGGCTTGAATTCAGGGCCTTTTGCCTCGTACTGTCCCTGAGCTTCTTGTGCTCAAAGCTAACTCTCTACCACTTGAGCCACAGCGCCACTTCCAGCTTTTTCTGCTTATGTGGTGCTGAGGAATCGAACCCAGGGCCTCATGCATACAAGGCAAGAGCTCTACCACTGAGCCACCTTCGCAGCCCCCAGCCAGGTACTCTAATCTTTAACTTTATGCAAAGCTACATAGACACAGACTGAATTGGTACCAGGCAGGTTCTAATGGGGCTGAGCCATTCTGAACTGGCATACAGTCATGCTGAGCAATGGGACAGTTACCTGCAGTCTTTGGTAAGTAGATATATTACTTGATATTTTGTTAAAGGCAGCAAATTTTTGTCTTGTACACCATATGAGTAATGAATTTGGGGGGTTTGTGTTTTGGCCAGTCCTGGGGCTTGAACTCTGGGCCTGGGCACTGTCCCTCAGCTCTTCAGCTCAAGGCGAGCGCTCTACCACTTGAGCTACAGCTCCACTTCTGGTTTTCTAGTGGTTTATTGGAGATAGGAGTCTCACAGTCTTACCTGCCAGGCTAACTTTGAACCGAGATTCTCAGATCTCAGGCTCCTGAGTAGCTAGGATTACAGGCATGAGCCACCGGCGCCTGGCTTAAATATGTTTTTTTATACACTCAACTTAGGATATGATTTGACAAAATACTTGAAATCAAAGTTATTCGAGGAAAAATCTGGTATTCTTTCCATGCTTGGATTTACAGAAAATTATGTAGGTCACCTACTTCTATCTGGATAAGTAAATTATCACGATTGGTAGTTTAATTCAAGTTTTCCTCAGGTCTTATTTCCCTTGTTGGTATTTGCCAGTTTAAAAAAAATAAACCCAGCCGGGGCGCTGGTGGCTCACGCCTGTAATCCTAGCAACTCAGGAGGCTGAGATCTGAGGATCGCAGTTCAAAGCCAGCCTGGGCAAGAAAGACCGTGAGACTCCTATCTCCAATAAACCACCAGAAAACCGGAAGTGGCGCTGTAGCTCAAGTGGTAGAGCGCTCGCCTTGAACTGAAGAGCTGAGGGACAGCGCCCAGGCCCAGAGTTCAAGCCCCACGACCGACAAAAAAAAAAACCCACTGTGTGGGAGAGGGAGGGAGAGGAAACCTCTGAATATACTATGAAAATGTTGCTTTTAATAACGAAAGAGTCTTTTGGGGAATAATTTCTGAGATATTTTTTCTCTCCCCACAGGTTTCTGTCTGGATTCTCCTGGACCCTTGGACAGAAAAGAAAAGTATATATTCACTATTTTAAAGTTTTCTATTTTTTAAGATAAAAATTCTAAACTCGGGGCTGGGAAGGTGGTTCAGTGGTAGAGCGCTTGCCTTGCATGCCTGAGGCCCTGGGTTCGATTCCTCAGCACCACATAAACAGAAAAAGCCGGACGTGGCGCTGTGGCTCAAGTTGTAGAGCACTAGCCCTGAGCTGAAGAGCTGAGGGACAGCGCCCAGGCCCAGAGTTCAGGCCCCACGACTGGACAAAAAAAAAAAAAAAATTCTAAACTCTTAACTGTATTATTATTATTACTTCTTTTTTGGAATTGATGATCAAACATAGGATGTTGCATTGCTAAGCACGCATTTTGCCACTGAACTATATATCCCAGTTGCAAAATTCTAAACTTTTACTGTTTGGGTTTTGTTGTTGTTGTTTTTTTGCCAATCCTGGGGCTTGAACTCAGGGCCTGGGCATTGTCCCTGAGCTTCTTTTGCTCAAGATTCCATTCTACCACTTGAGCCACAGTGCCACTTCCATCTTTTTCTGTTTATGTGGTACTGAGGAATTGAACCCAGGGCTTCATGCATGCTAGGCAAACTCTCTTACCATTAAACCACATTCCCAGCTCTGGCTTTTTTTGGGGGGCGGGGGGTGGTCATGGGCTTGAACTCTGGGCCTGGGCACTGTCCCTGAGCTCTTCAGCTCAAGGTGTTGCTCTACAATTTGAGCCACAGAGCCACTTTACCTCGCTTCCCTCCTCTCCCTCCCTTGGTTTATTGGAGATTAAAGTCTCCCAGACTTCCTGCCTGGGCTGGCTTCTAACTGAGATCCTCAGATCTTAGTCTCCTGAGTAGGATTACAGGCATAAGCCACCTATGACTGGCTACTTTTTTTCTTTTTAACCTAAAAACCTATGTTTGGGGGTACTTCTGGGACTAGCCAGCTTTAGAGCCTAGCATCTAGCCTAGCCTCTTGAGCCACAGCACCACTTCCAGTTTTCTAGTGGTTTATTGGAGATATGAGTCTCACGGACTTTCCTGCCCAGGCTGACTTTGAATCCAGATTCTCAGATCTTAGCCTCCTGAGTAGCTAGGATTACAGGCCTGAGCCACAGGCGCCCGGCTTATGTTTACTTTTTTATTTGCTTTATTCTCAGTTATTTTCCTTGATCTCATTACAGCCTTGAAAATCCCGTGAGGAGAATAAATTTCTTACCTGTAAGTTAATTTCATTGTTTATTTTGAGCTAATACCTGTTAATACCTTTTGTAGGCCCTCCTCCCCCCAGTCCCCAAGCTACTAGGTGACCTTCATAGGTGACCTCAGTTTAGAAAATGAACATTATTTTTCTGTACTCTCAGAGGCTACAGCGATTGCTTCTTTGGGACTTTGTCCTCTGTCTCTTCCTGGTTTTATCAAACCAGGAAGGGATTGGTTGAGCACTACAATTCGTGTTGAGAAAAAGGAAATAGACCTTTGTAAATTGGGTGCAAAGCTTTGTTGGGAGTACTTCTTTCTGTATGCTAGCTAGGTGGGGTCCTGTTGTGCTGTGTAGAAAGTTAAGCATTCCCACCCCATTCCACCTCTTTCAAGATCTGAATTTTTGCTGGGTATGCTAACACAGCACTTGAGAGGCTAAGACAAGTTAATCTGGAATTTGACATCAGCATGGACTATATAGTGAGTTCTAAGCTACCCTATACTACAGAGTGAGGCTTATCTCAAAACATTAAAGAACTGAATTTTCCATTGGGAATTTTTTCCCCCAGTCCTGGAGCTTGAACTCGGGGCCTATGCACTGTCCCTGAGCTTCTTTTGCTTAAGGCTTTCCCTCTACCACTGGAGCTACAGCACTACTTCCGGTTCTCTGATAGTTAATTGGAGATGAATCTTAAGGACTTTCCTGCCTGGGCTGGCTTTGAACCAGAATCTTCGGGTCTCAGCCTCCTGAGTAGCTAAGATTACAGGCGTGAGCCACCAGTACCTGGCTAACTTCTGGCTTTTTCTATTTATGTGGTGCTGAGGAATCCAAACCCAGGGCTTCATGCATGCTAGGCAAGCACTTTTACTACTAGGACACATTCCTAGTCTGCTTTTCATTATTTTTCAAAGAGGGTCTTGAATTTTGCCAGGCTGTCCTCAAACTGCCATCTAATCTGTTGTTGCTGAGTAGTTAGGGTTATAGGCATGAACCACTGTACCCAGTTCCCATTGAATTTTTCTTCACCTGCTCACTCAAATTTCCTTTTTCTTTTTTCCCCACTTTGATAGCAGAAGCTTTTGGGGTGTAGCCCAGCTTTGAAGAGGAGCCATTCCGATTCTCTGGACCATGACATTTTTCAGCTCATCGACCAGGATGAAAACAAGGAAAATGTGAGCATCACATCATTGTAGTAACGGGGGGGGGGGGGGGGGGGGGGGGGGGGAGTGGAGTCTGCCAAGTATCAGCAGTTTAGGAAGGACAAGGCTGGACTACTACAAGATAATTATGTGCATATAGACTATAAAATGGTACCTGGAAGATGTCACTCAGATTGTTGCTCTGGGAGATTGTTTGTCTAAAATGTATGCACAGAGGCTAGAAATGTGGCTTAGTTGTAAAGTGCTTGCCTAGCATGCATGAAGCCCTGGGTTTGATTCCTCAATACCACATAAACAGAAAAGGCTGGAAGTGGCTCTGTGGCTCAAGTGGTAGAGTACTAGCTAGCCTTGAGCACAGAGAGGCTCAGGGACAGAGCCCAGGCCCTGAGTTCAAGCCCCAGGACCAGCTTCCTCCCCCACCCCCCCCCACAAAAAAATGTTGTGGGGTGCTGGTGGCTCATGCCTGTAATCTTAGCTGCTCAGGAAACTGAAATCTGAGGATCCAGGTTCAAAGCCATCCCCAGTAGGAAAATCAATGAGACTTATCTGCAGTTAACCGCCAGAAACCTGGAAGTAGCACTGTGGCTCAAAGTGGTAGAGTGCTGCCCTTGAGCCAAAATGCTCAGGGACAGTGCCAGGCCCTGAGTTCAAGCCCCAGGACTGATTCCCCCCCCACCCCACTTCTCCCCACCCCCCAAAAGCCGGGCGGGGGGGGGGGGGCTTCTTGCTAGTGTTTGGAAGCTTGGAGCCAACAAATTCAGAGTAACTGAAACAGTGATTTTGAAGATGAGTTCCAGGTACACCTTAGCTGGTTTTCTGCTTCAGGCTACCTTTTCTAGCATTCTATGTCAGTCTTATTTCCCTATGTTTATTTTCTCCTCATTCCCTGCTAAAATGCCACAGCTTTTAATCTTTATAATCTTCCAGACTTAGTGTAAAACCAATGGCCTCCCAGAACTCACCTGGTTCTTCTGTTTGGCTCCTTGAGAAATGTCATGAGGAAGATAGATTCTTTGCCTTGAGATTTGGAGCAGTACACTGGCTTCTCCCGCCGCCCCCTACCAAATCCTGCAGTCCTGGGGCTTGAACTCAGCCTACATGCTGTCCCTGGGGTTTTTTGTGGTAGAGATGGTTGGACGACTAATGCTCAGAAAGTACTTCCTGTGTTTGTGTTGGCGTTCTAGACAGCTGGTTTTAATGCTTTATAAGTTCTTAAGTGAATAGCTTAGGATGGGGTGTATGAATACTTTAGATTTTTGAACTTTTTTTTTTTTTTTTTGTCAGTGCTTTGGTTTGTACTCAGGGCCTTTCTTTTTCATTTTTTTCTTTCTTTTTGCCAGTCCTGGGCCTTGAACTCAGAGTCTAGGACTGCCTCTGAGCTTGTGTGCTCAAGGCTAGTGCTCTATCGCTTTTGCCATTCATTTTTTGTTTTGTTTTGTGAGTCATGGGGCTTGAACTCTGGGCTTGGGAGCTGTCCCTGTGCTCTTCAGCTCAAGGCGGATGCTCTACTGTTTAAGCCATAATGCTACTTCCAGCTTTCTAGTGCTTTATTGCCAGGGCTAGCTTTGAGCCAGGATGCTTGGATCTCAACTTCCTGAGTAACTAGGATTACAGGCGTGAGCCACCAGCGCCTGGTGGGGCTTGAACTCTGGGCCTGGGCTCTGTCCCTCAGCTCTTCAGCTCAAGGCGAGCGCTCTACCACTTGAGCCACAAAGCCTCTCCTGGCTTTTTCTGCTTATGTGGTGCTGAGGAATCAAAGGGCTCCATGCATGCTAGGCAAGCAGTCTACCACTAAACCATGTTCCCAGCTCCTATTTTGTTTTATTTTTATTTTTATTTTTTGGCAATTGTAAGTCTTAAATGCAGGGCCTGAGTGCTGTCCCTGAGCTCTTTTGTTCAGGGTTAATGCTCTACCACTTTGAGCCACAGCTCCATTTCTAGTTTTTGAGTGGTTAATTGGAGCTGAGAGTATCTCAGACTTTCCTGCCTAGGCTGGCTTCAACCCGTGATCCTTAGATCTCAGCCTCCTGAGTAGCTAGGATTGCAGGTGTAGGCCACTAGCGCTCAGCAAGTGTGATTTTTGTTTAAGCAAACAAACAAACAGAACAATTTTCTTTGCATTGCTGTCAAATTCAGGATTTTTTTTTTTTGGTCAGTTGTGAGGCCTGAACTCTGGGTCTGGGCACTGTCCCTCAGCTCGTCAGCGCTAAGGTAGTGCTCTACCACTTGAGCCACAGCACCCCTTGTGGTTTTTTTCTGCTTATGTGGTGTTGAGGATTCAAGCCCAGGGCCTCATGCATGCAAGGCAAGCACTCTACCACTGAGCCACCTTCCTAACCCCTCAAATTCAGGATCTTGTGCATTACTATGCAAGTGCTCTCTAACCACCGAACAAACCCACCCCAGTCCTGGATGCTGCATTTGAAGTTAACTATTTACAAATCAGTGTTGGAATTTGATCAGAGATGAACTCTGAATTTGGAGGCAGTTCCTGAGGGTAATCAGTGCTCACACCTTTGTCTTCCCAAGTTATAACTGACTGAGGCTGGAGAGCTGGATTTTCATGAGCAGTAGATGTCTTATCTATGCCTTTCAGGAAGCGTTTGAGTTTAAGAAGCCCATAAGACCTGCCTCTCGTGGTTGCCTGCATGCCCATGGACATGACGAGAGCAAAGATGTCTTCACACAAAGGCAGAACTCAGCCCCAGCTCGAATGGTATGTGTTCTGCCCTTTTTTTTTTTTTGGCCAGTCCTGGGGTTTGAACTCAGGACCTGGGTACTGTCCCTGAGTTTCTTGTGCTCAAGGCTAGTACTCTACCACACGAGCCATAGTGCCTTTTCTGGCTTTGAAGTAGTTAATTGGAGATAGGACTCTCAACAAAGACTTTTCTGCCCGGGCTGGCTTCGAATTGAGATCTTCAGATCTCAGCCTCCTGAGTAGCTAGGATTACAAGCGTGAGCCACCAGCACCCAGCCTGCATGGTCTTTATCTTCAGTTAACCACTAAAATGCTAGACTAGAGGTGTTGTGCAAGGTCCTGAGGATAAACCTCAGTACTTCATTATAAATTTTAAAAAATCAAAACTTTCTCCTGCACAATGTATCCAAAGTGCTGAAGCATTTCCCAAAGAGTAATTTTGTTTGGAGAGAGTATTTGAAACCAGCTGAGGCAGGAAAGTCCATGAGACTCTTATCCCCAGTAAACAACCCAGAAAAGCTAGAAGGGGCGCTATGGCTCAAGTGGTAGAGTGCTAGCCTTGAACACAAAGAAGGCAGCACCCAGGCCCTGAGTTCAAGCCCCAGGACTGGCACCAAAAAACTTCTTTGATCGGTTGATGCTAAAATTTCCCTTCTATGTAAAATAGGGCATATAATACATGGTTGGAGTTTTTTAGTTGTTGTTTTTTTTTTTTTTTGGTATTGGGGATCGAACCCAGGATGTTGCACTTGTAAGGCAAATGCTTTGCCACTGAGCTACCTCCCAGCCCCGTAGTATGGTTTTTTTTTGTTGTTGTTCTTTCTTTTAGCTTTCCTCACATGAAAGAGATAGTGAGCCAGGGAATTTTGTTCCTCTTTTTACACCCCAGTCACCTGTGACGGCTAGTTTGTCTGATGAGGATGATGGCTTCATGGACCTTCTTGATGGAGAGAATCTAAAGGTAGTGTGTGTGTGTGTGCGTGTGTGTGTGTGTGTGTGTGTGTCTCCAGGGCTTGCAAAAGCCAATACTTTTGTATCATTTTTAGTAAGAATTTATTGGCTACTGGCCTGAGCAAATCAGAACTTAAGTGGATTTCAAAAGAAGACCCACATGATCCTTCTTTTCTGAACAGAGGTGTACTATCCATTAAGTACTTCCTCTCTTACCCAGGCCTGTCTGGTGTTCCTCAGGTAGAATTATATATAGGCCAAGTGCTGGTGGCCCACACCTGTAGTCCTAGCTACTCTGGAGCCTGAGAGCTGAGAATCATTGTTCAAAGCCAGCTCTGGCAGGAAAGATCATGAGACTCTTCTCTCTAATAATCCACTCAGAAAACTGGAAGTGGTGCTATGGCTCAGGTGGTAAGAGTGCTCGCCTTGAGCTGAAGAGCTGAGGGACAGCACCCAGGCCCGGAGTTCAATCCCCACGACCAGCAACAACAAAAAAGAATTACATGTATAGGAGCTGGGGGTTTAGCCCAGCAGAAGGGCGCCCGCCTGGCACGCGCAAGGCTGTGGGTTCGGTTCTCAGCCCTGGTTTTAAAAAAAAAAAAAAAAAAGACACATAAAGAATTACACGTATAGCATTTAAGAGTGGGGGATGTCTAGCCCATAGTCCAGATTAGGACCTTGAAATCACTTGGTAGAGGATAATATAGACACATAATGTTTCCCAATGGCTACCCTTAGCCCATCTGCCAATATCGATCTTTGTATATGGCCCATAATGATGTTATAAATATCCAGATGGTCCTGGGCAAAGGGCTGGGGGAGGTTCCCAGCCTTTGGCCTGGTCTCTTATTGGTTACTTCAAAGCCATTTTTCTCTTTTCTTTAGAACAACGAGGAGACCCCGTCGGGGATGGCAAGCCTCTGGACAGCTCCCCTGGTCATGAGGAGAGCTACAAATATTGTAAGTTATTTAGGGGGTGTCTGGACGGAGAGTAGTTGAAGCACTGGATAAGAGTTGTGTCCTTTGCTAAGTACAGCCTAAGGCTGACTGGAATGGCGTGACTGTGACTTGAAAACCTCTGTTTTACACCCAGGATGTGTTTGTGAGCCTGATGTTGCACGTGGTCTGTGCACGTTTTTTCCAGTCTGTAAATAACCTAGCTACTCAGGAGGCTGAGATCTAAGGATCGTGATTCCAAGCCAGCCTGGGCAAAAATAAATCCCTAAGACTCTTTATCTCCAATGAATTTCCCACGAAAAGTGAGGAACAGAGTTGTGGTTTGACTGATAGAGCTCCATGACCTACTGAAAGAAAATTCTGAAAAAAATTCTAATTAATGGGTTTCATTTGGACATGTGCTTATCCCTCCCTATGGTGCTTATTGATGTTTATTTATTTTTGCTGGTCCTGGGGCTTGAACTCAGGGGCTGGGCACTGTAACACTTCCAGCTTTTTTGAGTAGTTTATTGGAGATAAGAATCTCATAGGGGCCCAGTGTGGTGGTTCATGCCTATAATCCCAGCTACTCAGGAGCCTGAGAGCTGAGGATGGAGGTTCAAAGCTAGCTCTAGCAGGAAAGGTTGTGGGACTTTCAATCTCCAATAAACCACTCAGAAAACTGGAAGTGGTGCAGTGGCTCAAGTGGTAGAGTGCTAGCCTTGAGCTAAAGAGCTAAGAGACAGTGTTCAGGCCGAGTTCTAAGCCCCATGACCAACAACAACAAAAAAAAAATTAAGAGACAGTGTTCAGGCCTTGAGTTCAAGCCCCAGGACTGGTGTAAAAAAAAAGCCGGGCACTGGTGGCTCACGCCTGTAATCCTAGCTACTCAGGAGGCTGAGATCTGAGGATTGCGGTTCAAAGCCAGCCTGGGCAGGAGAGACCATGAGACTCCTATCTCCAATAAACCACCAGAAAACCGGAAGTGGCGCTGTAGCTCAAGTGGTAGAGTGCTCGCCTTGAGCTGAAGAGCTGAGGGACAGCGCCCAGGCCCAGAGTTCAAACCCCACGACCGACCAAAAAAAAAGGGGGGGGGGGAGGGGGATGTAGAATAAATCCTAAATTTAGCTTTGATTTTTAACCCACCTAGGAGCCTTTGGTCTAATTTCTCTTCAGCTAAGTGGATTTTAGTACATGATGAATCTTGTCTTTCATCCTAAGGGCAATGGCTGCAGGCTATTTGATTCCCCTTCCCAGTGTGTCTCTAGCACTCGGTCAGCAATGAAGAGAACTGACCGATCTCAAGAGGAGTCTCCCCAAGGAAGCACCAAGCGGCGGAAGAGCTTGGCTGGAACTATTCCTGGAGGGTCACTTAATCCAGAGAGGACTCCTGAGGTTTGTTTTGCAAGTCCCTTCGGGCATGTTTCACCCGATTGTTTGTAGAAGTTCTAGACAGAATCCAGCTTCATTTTTTTTTTTTTTTCCCCTCTGCCTTTGATTTCATTACAGATTTTACACCAGTCTTTGTCTCTGACATCTTCCCCCAAAGGGACCATAGAGAACATCCTGGACAATGACCCCAGAGACCTTATAGGAGATTTCTCTAAGGTATTACTGCCAGCAGCTCTTGCTGATACATGGGGTGTGAGGACATACAACTCTTCACTCAGCCTTGCTCCAGTCTCAAAGTGGTTTGTGTTAAAAATAGGGCTGGAATGTGGCTCAGTGGTAGAGAGCTTGCCTAGCATGCATGAAGCCCTGGGTCTGATTCCTCAGGACCACATACACAGAAAAAGCCAGAAGTGGCGCTGTGGCTCAAGTGGTAGAGTGTGTTAGCCTTGAGCAAGAGAAGCTCAGGGACAGTGCCCAGGCCCCAAGTTCAGGCCCCAGTACTGTCCAAAAAAAGAAGAATAAAAATAGGGAAACAGCCAGGCCCTGGTGGCTCATGCCTGTCATCCTAGCTACTCAGGAGGCTGAGATGTAAGGATCACAATTTGAAGCCATCCCAGGCAGGAAAGTCCATGATACGGTTACAGCCAAAAAAACTGGAAGTTTAGTTGTGGCTCCTGTGGCAGAACACTATCCTTGAACAAAAAATGCTCTGTGTAGCTTAGCGCCTGGGCCCTGAGTTTAATACCCAGGATGAGCACAAAAAATATTAACAATAAAGTTGGGAACTGGTGGCTCACACCTGTAATCCTTAGGTACTCAGGAGGCTGAGATCTGTGGATCACGGTTCAAAGCCAGCCCAGGTATGAAAGTAATAACGGAATAAACTTGGTTTCTCACAGTTGGGTCCATTTTGATCTTTGAGCATATGGCTCTTCTTCATGTTGATGAGTTTGAAATAGAGAGCTACCCCCCACCACCAGGCAAACAGTATAAATATAACATGTAGTCTCTCAGAGTCTCTAAATAAGTATCTTTTTTTCTTTTAAAGGGTTATCTCTTTCATACAGTTGCTGGGAAACATCAAGATTTAAAATACATCTCTCCAGAAATTGTAAGTTATCTTTTGGGACCTGCCACCTCTGAAGTATCTGAATCCAGTTGTTCCTGACAGTACAAGTTGACCTTCTTCTGCTTTCTCTTCACAGATGGCATCTGTTTTGAATGGCAAGTTTGCCAATCTCATTAAAGAATTCGTTATCATTGACTGCCGGTACCCATATGAATATGAAGGAGGCCACATCAAGGTATGGATTCTTGAGATCTTTCTTGCTGGGCATAGAAGGAGCCATAGAGGGCTAGGAAGGTGGCTCAGTGGTAGAGTGCTTGTCTTGCATGCATGAAGCCCTGGGTTTGATTCCTCAGTACCACATACACAGAAAAAGCCGGAAGTGGCGCTGTGGCTCAAGTGGTAGAGTGCTAGCCTTGAGCTGAAAATCTGAGGGACAGTGCCCAAGCCCAGAGTTTAGGCCCCATAACCAACAAAAATAAGAATAGAGAGCCATAGAACAAGACCTATTTTTTTAAAAGTGAGAGGGTGGGATACATATATGTTATCCCAGCTGTTTGAAAGATAAAGACAGGACCAGCCTGAGTAAACTTAGCTTTAACCTTATTTCAGAAACAAAATATGTATAATTAAAAGGTGTGAGTTCGATCTCCAGTATTACAAAACAGGGGAGGGGGGGGGGTTGTTTAGTGCATATGGTAGTGATTGTTTTTGTTTTTTGTTTTCCTATCTTGAGACTGGGACTTAAACTCAGTAGGGTGTGTGTGTGTGTGTGTGTGTGTGTGTGTGTGTGTGTTTTGCTGGTTGTGGGGCTTGAACTCAGGGCATGGGCGCTGTCCCTCAGCTCTTCAGCTCAAGGCAAGCACTCTACCACTTGAGCCACAGCACCACTTCCCGTTTTCTGGTGGTTCATTGGACATAGGAGACTCACAGACTTTCCTGCCGTGGCTGGCTTTGAACCTCAATCCTCATATCTCAGCTTCCTGATCCATGTTTTTTTAAGAAGCTTAGATACAAAGATTTGATGCCAGGCACAGTGGTTCATACCTGTAATCCTAGCTACTCAAGAGACTGAGAACTGAGGATTGCAGTTTGAAGTCAGCCCAGGCAAGGTGCAGATTTGAATACCCCAAGCTCCCTACCGGGAAACTGGCAGAATCCCAAGCATGGTGAAACCCAAGGGTACTAAAGGAGGTGTGGTACCTTCACAGGGTGCAGTGAATTTACACATGGAAGAAGAAGTTGAAGACTTCTTGCTGAAGAAGCCCATCGTACCTACTGATGACAAGCGTGTCATTGTCGTGTTCCACTGCGAGTTTTCTTCAGAGAGAGGGCCCCGCATGTGAGTGCTTCTGAGCATGAGGCTTCTGGGGAGGAAGTCCCTCCCCCACACTGCTTTTGTGGAACATAGTGGTACGGTGTGTGGCTTTCCCGTGGAGCGTACTTCAGTGTATCGAGCAGGTCATTTCCCTGCTTCTGCCTCTAGGTACAAGACATACTTTATGTTGTAAAAGGTATTTGAGGGGCTGGGAATGTAGCTTAGTGGTAGAGTGCTTGCCTAGCATGCATGAAGCCCTGGGTTCGATTCCTCAGTACCACATACACAGAAAAGGCCAGAAATGGTGCCGTGGCTCAAATGGTAAGAGTGCTAGCAGCTTTAAACAAAAGAAGCTCAAGCATAGTGCCCAAGCCCTGAGTTCAAGCCCCAGGACCAGCTAGCATCAAAGAAAGAAGAAAGTATAAAAGTTTTTATCTTCGGGGCTGGGAAGGTGGCTCAGTGGTATAGCACTTGCCTTGTATGCATGAGGCTCTAGGTTCAATTCCTCAGCCCCACGTAAGCAGAAAAAGCCAGAAGTGGTGCTGTGACTCAAGTGGTAGAGCTCTAGCCTTGAGCTGAAGAGCTGAGGGACAGCGCCCAGGCCCAGAGTTCAGGCCCCACAATCGACCAAAATAAATAAATAAATGAATGAATAAATAAAAGCATTGGGCTATTTAATTTAAAAAAAAAAAAAAGTTTTTCTCTTCAATTAACAAGAAACCAGAAATAGAGCTGTTGCTCAAGTGTCTCCTGAGGTTAAGGACTTGTCCCTGTCCTAACTCCCATCTCCCATTCCACACCCCCCACCTTGTGTGTGTGACAGCAAGCACTCCACTATTGAACCATTTTCCCATTCCTGTGCTGTACATTAATATGAAGCTATTAATTGTATTGATTAACCTGTGAATGGCTACGTTGGAGCAAAGTCCCCATGTTCACTCATGAGCAGAGGTAGCTGATAACTTCCCTTTGCCTCTCCAGGGCCCGAACCTCTTGCCACACAAGCAAAATCAACCCCTAAACCTGTATGCATGTGGCCTGGGAAGGTGGCTTTAGTGGTAGAGTGCTTGCCCACCATGCATGAAGCCCTGGGTTCGATTCCTCAGTACCACATACATGGAAAAAGCCAGAAGTGGTGCTGTGGTTCTAGTGGTAGAGCACTAGGACATTGTAAGGATTTCAGCTTTTTTTAAATCCTACTTCTGAGCCAGGCACAGGTGGCTCATCTCTCTCATCATTGCTGCTCAGGAGGCTGAGATCTGAGGATCGCCATTCAAAGCCAGCCTGGGCAGGAAAGTCTGTGAGCCTCTTTATCTCCAACTGAGCCCCAGAAAACCGAACATAGTACTGTGGCTCAAAGTAGTAGAGCGTTAGCTTGAAGCAAAAAGCTCAGGGAGAGTGCCCAGGCCCTCAGTTCTTTTGCTGAGTTGTGTTTGTTTCTCTGTATGGGCAAAAACTAACCTGGCACTGGCCTTCCTTCTCCTTCACTAGGTGCCGGTATGTGAGAGAGAGAGATCGGCTGGGTAACGAATATCCCAAACTTCACTATCCTGAGCTATATGTCCTGAAGGGAGGATACAAGGAGTTCTTCCTGAAATGCCAGGTGAGATGGGGTCTCTGGAGAGCATGTCTGCACCCCTCAGTTGCGTTTTATGTTTTGCCAGTCTTGGGGCTAGAACTCAGGGCCTGGGCAATTGTCCCTGAGCTGCTTTTGCTCAAGGTTAGTGCTCTACCGCTTGAGCCACAGTATCATTACAGGCTTTTTCTGTTTATGTGGTACTGGAGAACTGAAACCAGAGCTTCATACATGCTAGGCAAGCACTCTACCACTAAGCCACATTCTCAGCCCACCTTTGTTTTGTTTTGTGCTAGTTCTGAGGCTTAAACTCACGGTCTGGGTACTATCCCTGAGCTTTTTTTTTTTTCCCTTGGTCATGGGCTTGAACTCTGGGCCTGGGCGCTGTCCCTGAGTTCTTCAGCTCAAGGCGAACGCTCTACCACTTGAGCCACAGCGTCACTTCCGGTTTTCTGGTGCGTAATTGGAGATAAGTCTCAAAGACTTTCCTGCCTTGGCTGGCTTTGAATCATGATCCTCAGATCTCAGCCTCCTGAGTAGCTAGGATTACAGGTGTGAGCCACCCGGCACCTGACTCCTGACCTTTTCTTTTCCTTTCTTTTCTTTTTTCTCAAGATTGTGCTGTGCCGCTTTTTTGTTGTTGGTGGTGGTGGTCATGGGGCTGACACTGTGGCTCAAGTGGTAGAGTGCTGGCCTTGGGCAGAAGCAGCTCAGGGATAGTACCCAGGCCAAGTTCGAGCCCCAAGACTGGCAAAACAAGCAAAAAAAAAAGTCTGTGAGACTCCTTTGTCTCCAGTAAACTACTCAGAAAAGGCCAGAAGTGGTGCCCAGGCCTTTACTTCAAGCCCCAGGACCAGGGCTAGTAATGTGGTGACAAGATGGCTATCTGCTTACCACAAAGAAAGCCCTGGAAGAACATGGTGTCTATCCAGGAACTGCACCTCTAGGCAAAGAGGGCCTGACAAGGATATCCTAACCTCCTTTTCTCGTCTTTTTTAGTCTCACTGTGAACCGCCCAGCTATCGCCCCATGCACCATGAAGACTTTAAAGAAGACTTGAAGAAATTCCGTACCAAGAGCCGGACCTGGGCAGGGGAAAAGAGCAAAAGAGAGATGTATAGTCGTCTGAAAAAGCTCTGAATGTGGTGGTAGGGTGCCGATGCCCCTCTCCCCTTTCCTCTTTGCTGCAGAAAACAAAACAAAACCTTGAACAAAAACCATCTAGCCGAGTGACATTGGGAGAGAGAGATTGATACCAGACTTCCCATACTCCCTGGGCAATCTGCTGTGTTGCACCTCTTAGCCTATCCCTATAAGATGCCCATTAGAACCGTCTGCCAGGGCTGTGAGTGCCACAGGCCCAGTCCCGGAGCTCCATTTGCCAAGCTCCGTCACCGTTTTGGGTAAAGCATGAGAAGAAAAGCAACCAAGAGAGATGCTACTGCGGCTGCTAGCCCAAATACCAAAGACAGCCCAAGGAAGAATCATCGGCCTGGAATAACCCAGATCTTTATAATTTATTCAACTTCATCAATTATTTTAAATTTTTTTTTTAAACTCCTGGAGACTTTTACTGCTTCATTAAGTCAAAAATACTGCCATTTCTAGGTAGAGTGGTTTTGGTTTTTGTTGTGTGTCTGTGTGTGTCTGTGTTTCGTTAAACCATCCCAGAGACTACTACCTCTGCTTTTAATTGGGGGGTAAAAAAAAAAAAGACAACTAAAAAGGAAGGTAGGAGATAAGAAAGGGCAAACCTGTTGGGAGTCTTGGGGGACAGAGCTGGGAGCTCTGTCTCTTGTCAGTACCCCCATGCAACTCCCAGGTTGTGCCCTATACTAAGGGCTGCTGCTATTAAAGTCAGGATCTGAGATACTGCTCTCAGGCCTGGCTACAGGACATAAGCTTACTACCACCTCCCCAAACCTACCTCCGGGTCATCGCGATCTCTTTGGGAGAGGGGTGGAGTTGTGTCCTGTTCTTCCTCACCCCCAGATTCCTGTCAACGGTGGCTGGTTGTAGGAATCAGGAAGCCCTTGATGCAGGTTCCCATTGGGCCCACGTTGGAACTTGGTAGCATGGAAATCCCAGGGTATTAGATGGGGGATGTGAGTGGACTCCATAGGGTTGAGTCGTCTGTTCAGTGCCCTTCTATTAACTCTGGTTGATTTTCTCCATACGTCATTTTTGTGCGTCAAGATTGGAATCAGTGTCCAAGTGAACTACCTGAAGGCAGAGCTGGAGATGGAAGCCCTGGGTATTCAAAGGAAGAAGGTGGTTCCCGTCACAAAGGCGACGTTCGTTGTAGATTATTTCTTCCGAGGAGAGTGTGGATTTTGAAGGTGTAAAAACGTTCTGGGTTTATCATGTTTTAATTTGAGGGACAAAGTGATGAGTCTTTACCCGTTAGGTAACCCCATATCAAACTTGCTGGAAGTAAGGGTCTCGAGGGAACGCATCCGACTGTAAGGGGCTGAGGCTGCCCTTCAGTGATTCACTCCCACCCTTGGGTGCTGGCCATCATGGCTCCATTGGGGGAAGGGTTTAGCCTTTCCCCCTTCCTGCTCTGGGATTGGAGGAGTACTGGAGATGGCTAGTTGGCTGTGTTATGGGTTTGAGTTGCATTTATTTGGCTTTCAAAAACAATCTTGGGAAATGAATGGAATCGAACCTGGGACGAAACCTCTGTCCACATACATCAAGATACCATTGTATTGTGTACCATCTTAGCATTGTTTAGCTAATGGTTGCAGATTCTGCAAATAAAAAACATCAAACCCAAGTTCGGCCTAGTTTTTTGGTAGGTTTAAGGAAAATTGCCATGCCCTTGGAATTCCAAGATCATGCAACCCTAAAATTGCCTGGGCAGCCTGGTCCTGGTGGCTCACACCTGTAATCTCAGGAGGCTGAGATCTGAGGATCGCGGTTCAAACCCAGCCCAGGCAGGAATCTGAGACTCATCTCCAATAAACCACCGGAAAACGAAGTGGTGCTGTGGCTCAAGTGGTAGAGCTCTCTCCTTGAGCTGAAGAGCTCAGGGACAGCACCCAGGCCGAGTTCAAGCCCCACAACTGATAGAAGAAAAAAAAAAAAGCGATCAAAGAGAGGTTCAGAGAATGTTCCAGATCAAAGGATGTGCCATTCCCTCCCCACCTCCAAAAAAAAAATCTATGAAGACCATTTTATAGATAGCTGACAATACTGTATTAAACTCATTTGGGAGCAGATACCATTGTCCTTAGCCGTGGGCATTTCAGTATCTCTATAAGGATATGCCTGTGCATAACTAATATAACGATCAAATTTAAGGAAATTGAATAATATTTCTGCCTAATCCAAAGTCCAGCCACGTACTGGGCATGGGTCGCTCACACTTGTAATCCTAGCTATTCAGGAGATCTGAAGGTTGCAGTTTGAAGCAGAAAAGTCTGTGAGATTCTTCCAATGAACTAGCAAAAAACCAGAAGTAGAGCTGTGGCTCATGTGAGAGCAGCAACTTTAAGAAAAAAAAAAAAAGCCAACTAAGAGCTCAAGACCATGAGTTCAAGCCCTAGTACCCTGGGGGTACATGCACACACACACACACACACACACACAGTCTAGCCAGCTATGGTGGTACAGGTAATGTGGCTTAGTGGTAGAGTGCTTGCCTAGCATGCATGAAGCCCTGAGTTCAATTCCTCAGTAACACATCCACAGAAAAAAAGCCAGAAGTGGCGCTGTGGCTCAAGTGGTAGAGTGCTAGCCTTGAGCAAAAGTAGCTCAGGGACAGTGGGCAGGCCCTGAGTTCAAGTCCCTGGTCTAGCACACACACACACACAAATCTCTGGGATTTTCCAGCCTGAACTGGCTTCAAATCACGATCCTCATACCTCAGCCTTGGGTGGGAATAGTGGAGTGAGGCTAGAGGATTAGCTATTGGGGAATCCCAGCTGGGAGAGAAAAGTGGGTCGCCTGGCAGTGTACCACACACACACAGGTCCGACTCAGATAAGACAAACTCCTTTGGGGAGCACATGTCACTGATAACTTTGGGGAAACAAAGGCTTCTCCCAGTAGGCTATGGAGCAGAGGGAGATATAAATCAGTTACCTCTGTTTTGGGATTGCCTTGTTCATTTTGGTGATTCAGATTTCTAGGCTCCTGCTCCTGGAAGTCTTGACCCCTTGTCTGTCCATTCCTAGAAGTGTCAGGTTGATTCTCCTAATGACCGACAGAGGGCGCAGCTCTTTCGAGCCAAGTGCAGTCAGCCTCTCAAGCATGCACTGAGGCCCCCTTTTGTCTTCTCAGATGTCTTTTCAACTTGGGGTTGATCCAAGGGCTTTTCTAGGACTACTGTGATGATTATGTCTTGCCACTAGATGGCGATGGTGCCAAAGTTAGTCTCCTGAAGCAGCTGCTCCCACCTCTGCCCTGAATCAGTCAGTAATTGGGAGTTGCTGGGGATCAGCAACCACCCCACCTCACCCTTTCCCCTTCCCCCTCCTGGTTGCTTGTTTTGTTTTGTGAAGTTGGGAATAAGGATAGAATGCAGCCAGCCTGGCAAGCACGCCACACCATGCAGCTAGCTACACATTCAGCCCCATTTCTGTGTGTGTGTGTGTGTGTGTGTGTGTGTGTGTGTGTGTGTGTGTGTCTGGTTTTGTTCTGTTTTGTTTTCAACAGTCCTAGGGCTTGAACTGTGGCCTGAGCTCTGTCCTTGAGCTTCTTTGGCTCGAGACTAGTACTCTACCACTTGAGCCACAGCACCACTTCTGGCTTTATCTGTGTAGGTGGTACGGAGGAATCGAACCCAGGGCTTCGTGCATGCTAAGCAAACACTCTACCACTAAGCCATCTTCCCAGCCCTCAACTCCACTTTCTAATTGACTCAAGAGTTCACTGTAGGGGCTGGGAAGTTGGCTCAGTGGTAGAGTGCTTGCCTTGCATGCCTGAGGCCCTGGGTTCGATTCCTCAGTACCACATAAGCAAAAAGAAAAAGGCTGGAAGTGGTGCTGTGGCTCAAGTGGTAGGGCGCTAGCCTTGAGCTGAAGAGCTGAGGGACACAGTGCTCAGGCCCAGAGTTCAGGCCCCACAACCGGACCAAAAAAAAAAAAAGAGTTCACTGTATAGCCCAGGTAGGCCTGGAACTCACTCTGCAGCCTAGGTTGGCCTCTTACTCCTGATCCTCCAGCCTCAGTTTCCTGAGTTGCTGGGAGTACAAGTGCACACCACCATACCCAGTTTTGATCTCCAATTTTAAATTTGGAGGCTTTGATTTTTTTTTGTTATTTTTATTTTTTGTCAGTCATGGGACTTGAACTCAGGACCTGGGCTGTATCCCTGAGCTCTTTCCTACCACTTTGAGCCATAGTGTTACTTCCGGTTATGTTTAAGTTGTTAATTGGAGATAAGAGTCTTACAGGGACTTTTCTGCCAGGGCTGACTTCAAACTGTAATCCTCAGATCTCAGCCTCTCAAGTAGCTAGGATGACAGGCATGAGCCACCAACTGGCGCCTGGCACGGTGATTCAGCTCCAGTCCAAGTCTCAGCTCTCCTGAGCTGAGGACACACCCTGTCTCTCCCCTGCTCCCTGCCTTATGCCAACCCAGCACCTGGAGGGCAAGGCAAGAGGAGGAGGAGGAGGCCTGGTGGAAACTGAGGCACGTCACCTGCCTGGCATTCATCTGCACCCAAACAGCTGGGTGTGCTGAAGGCAGGATAACAAGCCTTGACAGCTGCCAAGCTCCGTGGCATCGGAGGGAAGCTGGTCAGGTGGTGTTGAAACAGGGTGTGGTGGCTGGCCTGGAATTTGTCAAGGGCTGCCCGGACATCTGGCTGTCTCACAGGGCCAGATGTGCTGACGGGCATACAGCATAGGATGACCAAAACGTAGAGACTGAGAATGTTGTAGTCCCAGGATTTGGTGAGGGGATTAGCAGAGAGAGAGAGACAGAGAGGGAGGGAAGATGGAAATGTCAGATTTATTCCCCTTAACAATGCCAGTAATTGGGGGTTGGGAAGGTGGTTTAGTGGTAGAGTGCTTGCCTAGCATGCACAAAGCCTTGAGTTTGACTCCTCAGTACCACATACACAGAAAAAGCCAGACGTGGTGCTGTGGGTTCAAGTGGGAGAGTGCTAGCCTTGAGCAAAAGAAGTTCAGGGACAGGGCCCAGGCCCTGAGTTCAAGCCCCAGGATTGGCAAGAAAAAAAAAAAGTCC